TCTGTGATCTATTACTGAACAGACGCACGGCAACTTAGAATCTATTTGTTAAGTCGACTGCCTCTTTCACCCTACTTGTGTTAAAAAAAGGACTCACGATCAATAAATTTAACTTCTCTCTATAGCGGGCGGTGTTCTGTGTTGTAGGCGTGCTCTGAAACGGCGGAAGTCCGTGCATCAGCGAGTTGGATACCCCTGTCATGCTCCCTGATCCTCTCCTGCGTCTTTCTGTCATCTCTAAGGAGAGGAAGCATTGGCCATTTGTTGTTGCCTCTAATGATTATCCTTCGTCTTTCCTGCAGAGGGTAACTGAACCCCATATACTTCAAATCTACCGCAGTTTTGTTCCATGTCAAAGCACTTCCCTTAAAACTTTGCCGCTACTTTCGCTACTTTTTTCTTGTCTCGGTTTTGTTTGTTTTTTTATTTTTTGCAATGAACTGTCAATGACATAGCATCAAAGCGGAAAAAAGCCATTCATCAATGATGAAATGTAAAAGTGGAAATGAAATGTTTGTTTAGTAAGTCTACAGTCTTGTTAAGGTAATCACTGGAAATAAAATTAAATTTTACCACTTTTTTTTTACCATTATCATTTGAGTGATTTTCTCATAAAATATCTCCGCGTTGGTCAATAATGAACTCAAGTTGAAAATAATGCTTATAAATTTCAAGAAACAGGTCACAAGCAACTTTACCCCGATGATTTGAATAACAATGGAGCTCTTTCATAGATGGATATCTCGAAATTAATAAAACTGCAAGTCAAATATTTGCAAAAGGCTGTTAGTCGGCCGCTGTTTTGATGCAGTTTTATTGCAGCTTTGGATGTTTGAAAGACAAAACAAACTAACTTTGACAAGTTCTTTGTCTTACCGATCAAGCTTTTCTTCGCCTTAATGGCAGAATTTGAGTTTCAATGACAGTATCAGGCAATTTCAAGACAGTATCAAATAAAGGAAATAATTGCCAAAGAAACAGAATCGGAAACAATGTCGTACTGAATTCTAATTTTACCACCCCGAAAGTCAAGAGGATAAAAATGGCCAACTGGTTTTGTTCTCAAAGAGAGCTATTAACACTTTCAGCTCGCTAAAGCAATGTGTTTACTTGAAAAGCATATGGTCCATCCCCTTCTTTTCAAACTAACAATGAAAATTAAAGTTTAATTCACAACTACACTCATAATTAAAGGTGTATATAGTCCTTCATTTATATTTAAAAACGGTTTTGTGTGCCTGTAGTCAACTGAAGTGATTGATTGAGAGTCAGCTTGGTTCTTGGCGTTTGAAATATTGGGAAAAAAACTAGAATTCAAACAAGTTTCGATCCTCACTCCTCTCCGACGTAAAACATATTCTTGTTCATTAGTCTTGAAGATCCCCTGACCAGATGAAATTATCGTGGTGGCTTTCCTGAATTCCTCCTCTCATACTCGTTATATTCATCTTTTTCCTCATCTTAAACTGCATATGCAATGTCTGTTCACAGCTTTAGTCATGATTAAAGGTGTCTATATTGAGTCCTTCATTTACTTTTAAAAACGGTTTTGTGTGCTTGAAGTCAACTGAGGTGATTTGTTGAGAATCGAGCTGGTTCACCTTTCTCCACCGTAACATATTCTTGTTCAGTTTTGAAGACTCCCTTTTAAAAAAAGATTCTGCGTTTCAAACAGCGTGACATCTTGAATCACGGTTTGTCTACGCCGAAACCCTTTAAATTTCTCTTCTCAAGTGTTTCCATATCCAATTATTAAAATATTTTAGCACGACCCCTTTTGCCCTTCATCTACTCTTCATTTTCGTCCACTCTCCTTTTAGCACAACAGCATATTCGTCTAAGAAGCCTTTTAAAAGCTCTTCTGAAGTCCCTTCTGAAGAGGCTGTAGGCCAAAGGATTGGCGGCTGTGCTAAACAAAGACAGCACAGTTGCAAATGTATCCGCGACAGCGGGAATATATTCATGGTCCCACGTTACCGTTTTAATAAAGCGAGTTGCACCGAAGGGAGTCCACGAAATAATAAACAAAATTATGACCGCAGTTATTGTTCGAAAACCTTTAAATCTGTAACAGCTTCTCCATGCTTGGCGCCGCGAGTTATTAGAATTCGCCATCTCTCTCGAAGTTATGGTGTCCACTCGTCTTCCTTGATGTCGCACTACGGAGATTATTCGAAAATAGCAGAAGAGTATCACAGCCGATGGAATCATGATACAGAGTGTAATTGTTAGAACGCTGTAAATTACGACTCGTATTTTCCACTTATTGCCTGTACCGGTGAAGTTATAAGTACACATCGATTCGTACTCTCCATACCTAAACCAACCCATGGCTGCGCAGGGGATTGTAAAAATAAACGCCCATATCCAACTGAAAGCAATAGCCACGTAGATTCTCCTGGGTGTTACTTTTGCCCTGTACTTAAGTGGATAGATAATGGCGTAAAAACGATCCCAACTTATGAACGCTAAACTTTCAAGGCCAACGATGGCCAAGCTGTAGTAAACAAAAGCTGTTGCTTGACACCACGCGTTGCCATAATTCCAATTCCCCTGAATCAACGCCGCAGCACAAAATGGGATCACGAAGATCACTGTAAGAAGATCAGTCACGGCGAGGTTAAAAAGAAAATAGTTTGAGTGTTGCTGGCGAAGGTCTTTGTCAAAATAAATCGCCAAACAGACAAGAAAGTTACCCACGAGACCACACACGAAAATGGCCAATAAAATACCGGCGAAAGAAAAGGCTTCCTCTCTAGACAACATCATTTCGCATTGGGTTCAAGAAACTTTCCAGCGATGGGAAACTCCTACAAAAAGGCTTACCTTAGAAAGTGTACACGTAGGAACATGCAACATATTCCCTGTAGACACTAACTGCGACCTATCGGAAACTTTGTCATGAATAACAAATAAAATGTGTCAATAAATAATTACTCACGTTCCGTCCCGAGTTAATGAAAAAAAATTTATTTTCTGACTTGAGTCGATGACGAGGACCAAATATTTGATGAATGATTACACGATCCTTTTGTTTTCAATTTGGAAACATTATGTGAACATGAATCTTCCAAAACTTTTCAACGTCCAGCCTGAATCTCAGGAATACCCATTCAATGGGTTTTTAATACAAAAAAACTTTCTAGATGAGTATTTCGCACCTGCACTTTAAAAAACATTCGGCATAAAAGGTACCCGAACGCAATTAATTATTAAAATGTGAAAAGAAGTTTTAGATCGAAGCAACTTTCAGTTTTCCTAATTTTCATGGTTACTCAATCGCAATTGCCCGAAATAAATCTGAGTTTATTTCTCATTTCGGTTTTTTTAATCCTAAATTCGAACGAAACGCCCAATTCTAATACAGTGAAATCCAGACTCCCACTTTATCGCCAAAACATAATTAAAAAATGGTCGTTAAATTTTACAAAATATGCATTGCAGATAACAGCTGAGTTATGGGTAAATTAATTGGAAATTTTTCTTTCATAATTACTAATAATTAAGCGCCATCGCGTTTGTTATTGTCGTTTTAAAAGACTCTTTGTTGCGTTAGTGATACTCGGATAAACCATCAAACGCCTGCTATCGAACAAAGTTACCACAAGTTGATTGGAACAGTGCACGCTCACTTTTATAGAAGGTAATCGAGAATGCCCTGAAAATAATTTGGGCAGCTGAAAGACAATTTAATGATATTTCAAGGAAAGGAGAAGCCAATCTTGTATAGAAGGCCAATCTACAGATTTAAAATGCGTTAACCCGGCAGCAAACGCTTAATGCATGCTCTTGCAAATTTTAGTTTTGTATGGCTTGGAGGATTCTCGGTGTTGTGCAACCTTGCGGGAAAACAGTCAATTTCCAAAAAGTTGTCAAACAAAGAGAAAAAAAAACCCAACGGCTATCAACAAGAGCAAAAAACAATTACCATTCTCCATCACCAATTACTAACACCTATAAAAACACGAGAAATATCATCAGATATATAAGTAAAGAAATTAAGTAAGGGACATTTCTGTTTTATTTTCATGAACTATATACATATTCAATACACAGACACAATTTGTCTAGAAGTGAGCTTAACTCAAGTTTCAGTCAACAATGTGACTGATCTCTGGTTACCTAGAGGCGCCAGGGAGTATTATTATGCCATAATGTCTTAAAAACGTTTTCCTCCAATAAGCAGCGATAAGCGTGTAGGGAAATCATTACCAGTACCAGCTTGAGCGAATTCTACTGACGTCATTGTCTCAATTTCACTCGTCATGAGTTTACAAAGCGACTTAGGTCCAGTTCAGGCGTCGTACTTCTGCTGTGCCGAACTTTCTTGTAATTATGTTCGACCGTAGCACGGCAGAAGCACGACTCTAATTTAGACATCTGGCTAGAGTCGTACGAAATTCAGGATTTACTGAAGCTACGTGACAATCCTACCAAAATGCATTAAATATAATATATGAATGCTGTTTGGCTAGGCAGAGGCATGATGTTTGAGTCGCTTTCCTGTCAGGATCGTGTAGCACGGAGAAGCTTGTCGAACTTGATTGCTTCGCCGAACTTAATTAAAAAGTTTCATTCAGAAACTGTGCTTCTACCGCGCTTTTATCGAACTTAATTGTTGAATTAAGTTCGACACGAAGGGGGCACGACATCTGAACTGGAACTTAAAAACGGAATCATTTTTAGAATAGAATGACTTTACAGGAAACGTTTTACTTACTTAGCAGTCGTAAAATTCAGCTCTAGGTTCATAATGCTTATGGATATCAGTCATTCTGGTTGTTACCAGTGTTAATGGGTCTATATATTCTTAAAATTATAATTTTAACCTCATAGCATCGCTCTGAACAAAAAACAAATTATGCAGGTGGTGTCTGTTTTATGGCTTTTAAAAGATTCGGAACTGACTTTGTCATTCTCTCAGGGAAAGAAACGTGTATGGAAATATGGAGATACTTGTCAACAGAGATTCACCTATCGTGTTAAATGAGTTGGAAAACTTTTCTCCTCTCGCCGTTTCTCCTTCCGTAAAGTTTGTTCGGTAAAAAGACAAGACAAAGCGGAGGAAATAATAAATAACAAGTTTATGGTTAGTTTTTCCGAGACAAAGAAGTCATTCCGTAGCTGAGCGGTTGATATCCTTTTCTCTCCGATAAAAGGAATAAATGGTAAGACAAGTTGCCCTCTCTAGCGAAACCAAGGCTCTGTCGATTCCATTTCCAGCTGTAATAAGAGCCCGTGTTCCAAGAAAACCGCAGTCTAAAAACGGCTGGCCCGGCCAGAAGATATCAAGTCGTAGACTTGAGGCGCCTCGGGAGTTAAATTGTGGTGGATGACTAAGTGCTTTATTTAAAAACTAAAATTATAATCTCATTTTATCTACAAAATTGATCGATATCTGACAGCGAACATGATCCATACTGCGCAAGCGCCTTCAGGGTAGGTGAACACTCGCACTCGAACTGCCAATCTCACGTGATCACCGCGGCAGCAAATGATCTCTTCACATACCGGTGACCTGGGAAAGACATAATTTTTACCCTTTTTTACAGTTGTTCGAAAAAAAGTTCAAATCAGGCCGAAGAAGTATGCCGCAGGAATAATATTCGAGCCACAAGGTTCGCGAACGGTTAGGTTAGGTTAGGATTTGAGGATTCTGAAAAAAGTTTATGAGGAAGGCAAAACAGCAAGATATGATCTTTTGCCTACTGTCTCTCAGCCGTTTACATAACGAAGGGAAAAAGTTTGCATTTGTTGGGTTCAATGGGATGTTTTTTACTGTTGGGTCTTTTCAACATGGGACGAAAAACAAAGGACATCAGAGATAAATTTTGAGATCTTAGTAAAACATGCAAACAACCTGTTTGTCTGTTTTTCGCAGGAAGAAATTGAGTTAAATGCCATTTGGCCTGGCCTGTATTCACGGAAAAAGCCAGACTTCTAGGGGCCTCACAAACATATGAGTTATAAATTAAACGCAATTTACCTCAGACACGTGGCAAATGCCCGTCTTGCGTTACGATGCACAAACTGGATGGGAAACCCTTTGAAAGTGTGACCGTCAGGAATTGCTCGTCTTATGGCTTGTTGAAACTCTTCGTTTCCGGCGGAAACACCCGTGCTGTACTCCAATTCATAAGCAGCGAGAGCCGGTGTGAGAATGTAACTCAACTCGTCATCCCATGCAGTGTTTAAGCCCAAATCCTAAAGCATTATGAGAAATTCACCAAACATCAGACTCATGCGTTGTTTCCGTCACAGCCGATCTTTGAATGTCACGCAACGCCCCTCTTATACCCAACGCTTATATACGGAGTGGGAGTGGGGAAGCATTGTGCGACATCTCAAAGAACTACTGCGAAAGAAAGTAGCTGGTGCGTCTATTTCACAAGTATAAAGAGTGATCGATACCCATATTAGACAGAACAGTGCAAATAAGACCAGCATCCAAAATTAATCCAAGAGAAAAGCCCGTGTATTCAAAGTGGCCGTTGCGATATTTAAATCTAAATCATAATTTTACCCTTCTATGATCCGTTACCAAGCTCCTTAGCTCGTGCTCCATGTCATTACTAACCAGGGATGAGTCAACACCTGAAGGATACAGGGGAGGGAAGACTGGGCCGCTGGGCTGCGATAAGAAAGACCATATACCTTTTAGTCCAGCCTATACTTAGAGCCAGTTTTGGGATGTGGGTAAAACTTAACAATGTTAGTTTGTTACGCTAGAAAAACACCAAACGATTAGATGAGAGGAAAAAAGAAGCAAGAATGACTAACGACTGAGAAAAACAACAGGGACGGCAAATCGCGTATGAGGAAAAACGTAGAAGATTATTTACCAATATTTTAGGCCCACACACGGATCGTAACGCCTCTTCGCTCATACACTTCCACCGAGCTTCATTCTGAAGTTCAAATTGACAAACTTCAACAGAATCTGTTGGCTGAAAATAATTTTGCAATGATCATTATTCAATATTACATCACGATATGCATACTGCATTCTCAAAAGAATGTTTAAAAATCACATTAGCGGCAGTGTTATATTCTGGGCATATTTCTTTATGAAAGAAAGATTTGCAGCATTGCAGAAGTTCATTCAATGTCATGTAACTCTTTTCAAGGCAAACCAGTTTTCTACAAAGTGGTACTGCAACTTCTTCTCCAAGACCCAAACTTTCCTGTGTATGCGATTTCACAAAACATGTCGACACAGCAGTTGAAATGCGCAAAAGAAAAAGGTGTGGTGCGCTGGTGACCTGAAGAAAGGAAAAAGTTGGCTCGTGTGTGCAACCCAAAATAATCTTAACACTCAACAGCCAATACCAAGGAAGGCAAATATTACAACGTGCCTACGGCGCAATTTCATTCAAATGTCGAAAGTAATCCCATATTGCATTGGCATCGCTTTCCTTCGCTCTGTGATTGGCCCAGAAAACTTGCACCTCGCTATCAACCCATCAGAACCAATCACAAAGTAGTCGCCAGCACTTTTCCCGCGCTGTAGGCAGTTCGGTTGTTTTACTTTTAAAGGTACTTTCCTCTCTTCCGATTGGCAGTCCTGGATACATTTAATTGGTTTTTGGTTTTACAACACGTAATCAAAAGCGCTTTAAGACGTCAGAGTTAAAACTGCTCGAAAAGCGTTTTTCGCATCTGATTGGTTGAGATGGTGGCGGGACTTTTTCTAGACAATTGACATTAGTCAGATGAGTTACTCCCAAGCTGTGATTTGATTTCTAACCTGACTGTTTGCGTAAAAGGTGCGATGATTAAAAACACACCCTACAGTTCTGTAAGGATGATCAGGGCGGGACTGTTTGAGAGCTGGGGGGTCATCAG